TTGTTCCGAAACTGAGTTAATTTGAGGCTGAAAACTAGATGTCTGGGATCCACATATTATATTTCGCAAATTTTTCGAATTAACCTGACATTTAGGCAAAACAAGGACAAAAATTACACATACATTGTATTTTTTGTCGAGAATTTGGGTTACGTCTCAAAAAATTAATCTCATCATCTGCTCCATGTTTAATCGATGTGAGATTTTACTTTTATTTTCTCGACAGCCCTTTGAATTAAGAAGGATCGCATGCTCTAACAACGTCCATCTCTTTCACCATGTCAGACGCCACCACCTTAAGAGTTAACCACGGATTTCTTCAGCCATCATCTAACTTAAGGTCCACCACTTTTGTTCGACTACAACTAAGAATATGTATGTCCACATGACTAAGTTTGGGTCTAACTCGATACTACATATAACAACGTAGGATTCCTCCTTCAAAAATTAATATATTAAGTGTAGTCGTCAAATCTCTTTATAGAGCCATCATATATTTCAATTTTAACTAATTTGAGACTTCATTCACATTTTCCTAACATCTTCAACTTAAAATACCGCATTGGCCTCACTGTGTACATCAACTATGACAATTGAAATAAAATTTACAATAATGACATACATTTCTTAATTAAGTGAGCTCGAATGTGAATACAAAAGAAGAAATTAATAAAACAAAAATTTATTCATTTTAATTAAAATTCAGTATACGATATATAGCCCCTGATTGGTGGGGATTAAAATCACATTTTTAATAAATTTTGATAGTTATGGTTCAAAATTAAGTTGTGAGACCCTTAAAATATGTGGTTAAAATGAATTGTTAATCTTGATTTAAATAAAAATCTAGATTTTAATCGGTATCAAACATGTAATAATCTATGTATATTATGAAGGGAGACTAGCGAGTACATTTTGACCAATATTGCATGTTGCTGCCTCCAAAAGGAAAATCTACAATTAATCATCGGATTTACCGACGGAGTTAAGGCTTAAGCGACGAAAATTTCCGCCTCTGAAGTTAAATTTTTTTGTAGTGACGGGATTTTGATACTTGTACAAGTACAGGGGGCCAACCGGCATTGCCAAGGCCAATGTGACCCTGATAATGTAGCATGATTCTTTAAGATACTCTACCATTTGTATATCTTCTAGACAAGTGCTATAACGCCATTGATACGACATAAGGTTATTTGCAACAGAAAAAAGAGTAGAATATGGCGAAGCATGCACAAAATACGAGACCTGAAAAGTGAGGCAGGTGGGTGGAGGCGTAGGCGAATCGGGAACTGTGTACGATTTCCTCCAAACACAAGGAATAAAGGGGCCTCTGCTCGATTTTAGTTAAAGTCCAGAGCTTTTGCATATATATATATATATATATATAGCTTGATGCCTTTATGCATGGAGTATTAACAACTTTGCAAAACATTCTCTATCTCTCCTCTCTCTCTCACACACACACACGCGCGCGACTTTAATTTTGAGTGTAAGTTTCTTGTTAATGAAGTTATTAAACAAATACTTGGTCATCAATATTTTAATCTATTTATACCTTTTTTACAAAGTTTAAACTATAATTAAACTTACAAAACATTCCTTTTATACACACATTCTACAAGATCACAACTTACTAATCATTTATTACTCATAAATTTCGTAAGACCCACAACTTATAAACACTTATGTTAGAATTTGGGTGTGACTCGAATTCCTTATTAAAATAATTGAAAAATTCTAATTGAAGTGTACATAAAAAAGAATTCAATTTGAAATATTATTGGAGTCATATGTCAAGTTGAAGTTTTATTTTGGAAGCCCATTGGAAGTTGTAATTTATTTTGGACTCTATTTTTGGTATCCTACTTCATCAACTATATCATGAAGGTTTGGACATCCCCTACATGTTTCCTATAAATTCTAGGCTCTTCTATGAGATTTTATGAAGTGAGAAAATAGATTACTATAATTATATGATATATTGTAATTTTTCTATTTTTTCCACTATTCTTGAGTCAATAAAATCTCTTAATTATTCTGTGATATTCTTATCTTTATTAATCTTTTATTTGATCATATACTTTATTATTATTTTTCATATAACTTCAATATCTCAATCCGGTGGTTTGTTTCACAACAATTGGTATCAATTTTGGTATTTTGGTTGTTTTACAACAAGTGGTATCAGAGCGCCAAATTCAGCAGTTCCGCAAGAGCGCAATGTTTGATTTGTTTGAAGTTTTTGTTCGTGATGGCTTCCTTGAAGTATGACATTTCACTTTTGGATCGGAGCACTAAATTTTCACTATGGCAGGTTAAGATGCGTGTAGT